TCAAAAAGTAAAGGGAATCTAGCGGTCTCACTCGATCAGAAGGTGGGAAATATATAAATCTAGTGAGCTAATAAGTTTTGAAAGGAATCTAATGCATATGTATATGGAAAATGGTGCATTGGCCAGGTCGGTCAGTATGGGAACTTAGAGTGCAAATGCCAGGGAGAACGGAAGCGCTCAAATCTTGCATAGTACACGGAATCTAGTGGTCTCACTCAAATATAAAGTAGGAAATAAATTCATCTAGAGAACGTAAGGATTTGAAAGGTAACTAACGCACATGTATAGAGAAAATGGTGCATCGGCCAGTCTGGCCGGCATTTCGCACTTATAGTGCAAGTAGGGCCAAGGAGAACGGAAACGCTAATTTCTCAAAAAGTAAAGGGAATCTAGCGGTCTCACTCGATCAGAAGGTGGGAAATATGTAAATCTAGTGAGCTAATAAGGTTTGGAAGGAATCTAATGCATATGTATATGGAAAGTGGTGCATTGGCCAGGTCGGTCAGTATGGGAACTTAGAATGCAAATGCCTGGGAGAACGGAACCGCTCAGATCTCGCATAATACACGGAATCTAGTGGTCTCACTTAAATATAAGGTAGGAAATATATTCATCTAGTGAACGTAAGGGTTTGAAAGGTAACTAACGCACATGTGTAGAGAAAATTGTGCATCGGCCAGTCTGGCCGGCATTTCGCACTTATGATGCAACTAGGGCCAAGGAGAACGGAAACGCTCATTTCTCAAAAAGAAGAGGGAATCTAGTGGTCTCACTCGATCAGAAGGTGGGAAATATATAAATCTAGTGAGCTAATAAGGTTTGGAAGGAATCTAATGCATATGTATATGGAAAGTGGTGCATTGGCCAGGTCGGTCAGTATGGGAACTTAGAGTGCAAATGCCTGGGAGAACGGATCCGCTCAGATCTCGCATAATACACGGAATCTAGTAGTCTCACTTAAATATAAGGTAGGAAATATATTCATCTAGTGAACGTAAGGGTTTGAAAGGTAACTAACGCACATGTGTAGAGAAAATGGTGCATCGGCCAGTCTGGCCGGCATTTTGCACTTATGGTGCAATTAGGGCCAAGGAGAACGGAAACACTCATTTCTCAAAAAGTAAAGGGAATCTAGCGGTCTCACTCGATCAGAAGGTGGGAAATATATAAATCTAGTGAGCTAATAAGTTTCGAAAGGAATCTAATGCATATGTATATGGAAAATGGTGCATTGGCCAGGTCGGTCAGTATGGGAACTTAGAGTGCAAATGCCAGGGAGAACGGAAGCGCTCAAATCTTGCATAGTACACGGAATCTAGTGGTCTCACTCAAATATAAAGTAGGAAATAAATTCATCTAGAGAACGTAAGGATTTGAAAGGTAACTAACGCATATGTGTAGAGAAAATGGTGCATCGGCCAGTCTGGCCGGCATTTCGCACTTATAGTGCAAGTAGGGCCAAGGAGAACGGAAACGCTCATTTCTCAAAAAGTAAAGGGAATCTAGCGGTCTCACTCGATCAGAAGGTGGGAAATATGTAAATCTAGTGAGCTTATAAGGTTCGGAAGTAATCTAATGCATATGTATATGGAAAGTGGTGCATTGGCCAGGTCGGTCAGTATGGGAACTTAGAGTGCAAATGCCTGGGAGAACGGAACCGCTCAGATCTCGCATAATACACGGTATCTAGTGGTCTCACTTAAATGTAAGGTAGAAAATATATTCATCTAGTGAACGTAAGAGTTTGAAAGGTAACTAACGCACATGTGTAGAGAAAATGGTGCATCGGCCAGTCTGGCCGGCATTTTGCACTTATGGTGCAAGTAGGGCCAAGGAGAACGGAAACACTCATTTCTCAAAAAGTAAAGAGAATATAGCGGTCTCACTCGATCAGAAGGTGGGAAATATATAAATCTAGTGAGCTAATAAGTTTCGAAAGGAATCTAATGCATATGTATATGGAAAATGGTGCATTGGCCAGGTCGGTCAGTATGGGAACTTAGAGTGCAAATGCCAGGGAGAACGGAAGCGCTCAAATCTTGCATAGTACACGGAATCTAGTGGTCTCACTCAAATATAAAGTAGGAAATAAATTCATCTAGAGAACGTAAGGGTTTGAAAGGTAACTAACGCACATGTGTAGAGAAAATGGTGCATCGGCCAGTCAGGCCGGCATTTCGCACTTATAGTGCAAGTAGGGCCAAGGAGAACGGAAACGCTCATTTCTCAAAAAGTAAAGGGAATCTAGCGGTCTCACTCGATCAAAAGGTGGGAAATATGTAAATCTAGTGAGCTTATAAGGTTCGGAAGGAATCTAATGCATATGTATATGGAAAGTGGTGCATTGGCCAGGTCGGTCAGTATGGGAACTTAGAGTGCAAATGCCTGGGAGAACGGAACCGCTCAGATCTCGCATAATACACGGTATCTAGTGGTCTCACTTAAATATAAGGTAGAAAATATATTCATCTAGTGAACGTAAGAGTTTGAAAGGTAACTAACGCACATGTGTAGAGAAAATGGTGCATCGGCCAGTCTGGCCGGCATTTTTCACTTATGGTGCAAGTAGGGCCAAGGAGAACGGAAACACTCATTTCTCAAAAAGTAAAGGGAATCTAGCGGTCTCACTCGATCAGAAGGTGGGAAATATATAAATCTAGTGAGCTAATAAGTTTCGAAAGGAATCTAATGCATATGTATATGGAAAATGGTGCATTGGCCAGGTCGGTCAGTATGGGAACTTAGAGTGCAAATGCCAGGGAGAACGGAAGCGCTCAAATCTTGCATAGTACACGGAATCTAGTGGTCTCACTCAAATATAAAGTAGGAAATAAATTCATCTAGAGAACGTAAGGATTTGAAAGGTAACTAACGCACATGTATAGAGAAAATGGTGCATCGGCCAGTCTGGCCGGCATTTCGCACTTATAGTGCAAGTAGGGCCAAGGAGAACGGAAACGCTCATTTCTCAAAAAGTAAAGGGAATCTAGCGGTCTCACTCGATCAGAAGGTGGGAAATATGTAAATCTAGTGAGCTAATAAGGTTTGGAAGGAATCTAATGCATATGTATATGGAAAGTGGTGCATTGGCCAGGTCGGTCAGTATGGGAACTTAGAGTGCAAATGCCTGGGAGAACGGAACCGCTCAGATCTCGCATAATACACGGAATCTAGTGGTCTCACTTAAATATAAGGTAGGAAATATATTCATCTAGTGAACGTAAGGGTTTGAAAGGTAACTAACGCACATGTGTAGAGAAAATGGTGCATCGGCCAGTCTGGCCGGCATTTCGCACTCATAGTGCAGGTGGGGCCAGGGAGAACGGAAACGCTCGTTTCTCAAAAAGTAGAGGGAATCTAACGGTCTCACTCGATCAGAAGGTGGGAAATATATACATCTAGTTAGCTAAAAAGGTTTGAAATGTATTCAACGCACATGTATAGAGAAAATGGTGTATTGGCCAGGTCAGTCGGTATCAGAACTTAAAATGCAAATGCGAGGGAGAACGGAAGCGCTCAGATCTCGCATAGTACACGGAATCAAGTGGTCTCACTCAAATAGAAAGTAGGAAATATATTCATCTAGTGAACGTAAGGGTTTGAAAGGTAACTAACGCACATGTGTAGAGAAAATTGTGCATCGGCCAGTCTGGCCGGCATTTCGCACTTATGATGCAACTAGGGCCAAGGAGAACGGAAACGCTCATTTCTCAAAAAGAAGAGGGAATCTAGTGGTCTCACTCGATCAGAAGGTGGGAAATATAAAAATCTAGTGAGGTAATAAGGTTCGAAAGGAATCTAATGCATATGTATATGGAAAATGGTGCATTGGCCAGGTCGGTGAGTATGGGAACTTAGCGTGCAAATGTCAGGGAGAACGGAAGCGCTCAGATCTCGCATAGTACACGGAATCTAGTGGTCTCACTCAAATAGAAGGTAGGAAATAAATTCATCTAGTGAACGTAAGGGTTTGAAAGGTAACTAACGCACATGTGTAGAGAAAATGGTGCATCGGCCAGTCTGGCCGGCATTTCGCACTTATAGTGCAAGTAGGGCCAAGGAGAACGGAAACGCTCATTTCTCAAAAAGTAGAGGGAATCTAGCGGTCTTATTCGATCAGAAGGTGGGAAATATATAAATCTAGTGAGCTAATAAGGTTCGAAAGGAATCTAATGCATATGTATATGGAAAATGGTGCATTGGCCAGGTCGGTCAGTATGGGAACTTAGAGTGCAAATGCCAGGGAGAACGGAAGCGCTCAGATCTCGCATAGTACACAGAATCTAGTGGTCTCACTCGAATAGAAGGTAGGAAATAAATTCATCTAGTGAACGTAAGGGTTTGAAAGGTAACTAACGCACATGTGTAGAGAAAATGGTGCATCGGCCAGTCTGGCCGGCATTTCGCACTTATAGTGCAAGTAGGGCCAAGGAGAACGGAAACGCTCATTTCTCAAAAAGTAAAGGGAATCTAGCGGTCTCACTCGATCAGAAGGTGGGAAATATATAAATCTAGTGAGCTAATAAGGTTCAGAAGGAATCTAAGGCATATGTATATGGAAGGTGGTGCATTGGCCAGGTCGGTCAGTATGGGAACTTAGAGTGCAAATGCCTGGGAGAACGGAAGCGCTCAGATCTCGCATACTAGACGGAATCTAGTGGTTGTGAGAATAAGTGAACAGGAATGAAGAACTAGCAGTGAAATGAGTACAAGTAGGAAACCCTTAGAATTGTGTACCCCCTATAGGCTAACCCACTGTAGCCTACACAAGCATAACATATATAATGTTTGACACACCCCCATAGGCAAAGTGGGGGAGAACAAGGGGTCACAAGACCAGTCAAGCAAAGCAAAGCAAGCTCAGGGTGGATCAAAAAGTCACCACACAGTCTGAGCACAAGAGCAGGGCCAGAGGCCAGTTCACATGCAGGAGTACAGACATATATATAAAACTAGACAAGCAAGAGCAGGTATATATATATGTCACAGTACAAGTGAAGTCAAAAGGAGAGCAAGTGAGGCAAGACTGGCACAAGACCCAGCTGGGTGCAAAAGCGCTGATGGTCACAAGGCGCGAGTGCCTTGGTGAACACATCAGCAGTGTTGGCCTCAGAGGCCACGTACGCAAGTCGCAACTGACCACGCTGCTGCAGCTCACGAGCAAGGAAGTAGCGGAGAGCAATGTGCTTCGTTCTGTGCTCCAAGCGCTGCTCTCGACACAAGGCCAGCATGGCCTTGTTGTCTACGTACAGCACTGGAGGAGAACGAGGCGGCTCTCCAAGGTCAGTCAGCAGGTAGGTGAGCCAGCGAAGCTCCTGTGCAGCCATGGCCCCGGCGTAGATCTCAGCCTCACAACTGGAGCCGAGAACTGAAGACGAGCGAGTAGACCGCCACGAGACAGAGCCGGAACCAAGGCTGAAGGTGTAACCCTGTGACGACCGCTGCGTAGCCTGGTCGTCAGCCCAAGAAGCGTCCGCGTGGCCGGTAAGGACCACTGGACTCCGCCCTCCAAGCACTAGCCCCATGCCCGACGTACTGCACAGGTAGCGCAATACCCTCTTCGCTGCAGCCATGTGCTCTGGTCTGTGTCTCCTAGGAGCAACATAGCGTGCAAGAATGCTCAGAGGGTATGCAAGGTCAGGTCGTGTGCAGGTCATCAGGTACATGAGGCAGCCAACAAGCTATGCATACGGACCACTCGACTCTACGGACTCATCCGAAGGCAGAGCTGAGAGTGAGTGGCGAGTAGGCAGAGGAGTGGCCTGAGGCGAGGAGTACGTGAAGCCGAAGCGCTGAAGGACCTGCTGCACCATGTGTGACTGAGTCAAGGTAATGGTGCGGCGTGCTCTGTCCCGAGTGATCTGCAAGCCAAGGTAGCTGCGCAGTTCACCCAGGTCTGTGCACGTGTGTCTCTTCAGCAGCTCGGACTTCACGTAGGCGAGTCCAGCAGTGTCCGCTGTGGCAAAGACCAAGTCGTCGACGTACACGAGGATGTAGAGCGGCGGCAGAGAAGTGTCAGTGCGAAGAAACAGCGACGGGTCAGCAGTAGAAGGAGCAAACCCAAGAGCCGCAAGCGTAGTCCTCAGTGTGTCGTGCCACTCACGCGGTGCCTGGCGGAGACCGTAGACTGGCCGTCGGAGGCTCCACTGGGTGCCAGGAGGGAAAGTCCCAGTGAAGCCAGGTGGACGGCGAAGCCAGATCTCCTCGTGCAGGCTACCCTGCAAGAACGCAGTGCTGAAGTCGAGAGAGTGAAGCTCGTAGTCGCGCTGAGCGGCTATGTGCAGCAGCACCCGAAGAGTAGTCATCTTCGGGGTGGGAGAGAAGGTCTGAAAGTAGTCAACTCCCTGCCACTAACTGAAGCCACGAGCAACGTACCGTGCCTTGAAGACAGGTGGAGAGCCCGGCGGCCGCTTCACCCTGAAGATCCACATGCCACTGACGATGTTCGCCCCAGGAGGGGGAACCGCGTCAACGTAGGTGCCTGTGGACTTCCAGGAAGCCATCTCTGCATCCATAGCTGCCTGCCACTGAGAGGAGTAGGGACCCTCTAAGGCCTCCGCGTAAGAACGCGGAGTCGGGATGTCTAGTGCATCCGGGTCTCCCTCAGGGGCAAGCAGTACAGACGCGAGATGAGGTGAAGCAGCCGCTAGACACTGTAACTCCTCCTGCCTGTCCTCTAGGACGTCCGTGCCAAGAGCACACTCACCCCCGACGGACGGAGGACAGACAGACGCAGACTCAGCAACAAGACTAGCAGCGTAGTCGAGACGACAGCGAGCAGCAAAGTCGACGAGCTCAGCGACTAGAGCAGACGCAGCAGTGGACTCAAAATAGGGGTCAGTGACGACAGTAGCAAGCAGACGCGTGACAGTAGGACTGGCAGCACGAAGAGAGTCCGACTCAGGGTCGGCAAGCGCAGGAAGAGAGGACTCAGGAGGAGAAGGCAAAGGGGCACGCAAAGGAGCAGTGGACGGACGCAGAGACATCCGGTGCGTGCCAGGGACAGGAGGAGGACGCTGACGCGAACTGCGACCACTAGCGCGAGCAGCACGAATAGGCGACGCGGGACGAGACGCAGGCTCACGACGCTCAGCAAGACCTCCAGTAGGACTAGTGTAAGGAGAGGGAGCAGGCAGTGGAGAGGAAGGCTCCAGCAGGGACTGCGACTAGACAGGCGGTGGACCCTCTACTGGAGGAGAAAGACCAAGAACCTGCTGCAGGAGCGGAACGAAGTACGGCCGAGGCCGCGCGGCAGCTCCAGACTCAGCAGGGACAGCACCAGCACCCTCGGCGACAGCACCAGCGCCACCCATACCTCCAGTGGCAGGACCAACAGCAGTAGGCTCAGCACCAACGCCCTCAGCAGCTCCAGCTCCAGGAGGACCCGCAGGTCCAGCAGCTCCGGGACCGGCAGCACCCGCACCCTCGACGGTCGAAGAAGCTCCAGCTCCAGCTCCAGCAGCACCTCCAGACTCAGCAGCACGCCTCCAGCGGCGAGCGAACCACTCGCGCAGCTCCTGTGGAGAGAGGGGCTCCCGGCGAGACGCAGCAGCAGGAGAAACCCCAGGCTCAGCAGCTCCAGACACAGCACCCCCAGGCTCAGCAGCTCCCAGCTCAGCACCCACAGGCTCAGCAGCTCCCGACCCAGCACCCCCAGACCCAGCACCTCCAGGCACAGCACCCTCCGGCTCAGCACCCCCAGGCTCCGCACCCTCCGCAGTAGCACCCTCAGGCCCAGCACCCCCAGCAGTAGCACCCCCAGGCTCAGCACCCCCGCGCACAGCACCCCCAGAGTCAGCACCCCCAGGCTCAGCACCCGCAGCAGCACCAGAGTCACCAGTAACCTCGACCGGGTCAACGGCGTCTACCTGGGACACACCTGAGGGGGCAGGAACCTGAGGGGGGAGGGGGTCTACCGGGGGGGGAACCGGCACAAGGAAGTCCGGGGGAGGGGGGAGGGAAGGAGTGCGGTAGGGGAAGAGACGGTAGAAGGGGACTGACTCGTCGAACGTGACGTCCTGGGAGGACAGAACACGACGAGAGGAGGGGTGGTAAAACTGCCACCCTGGGGCGTCAGTGGGGAAGCCAAGGAAGACACAGGGAGCAGCACGAGGGGACAGCTTGTCCGCAGACAAGTCGCGGACAAACGCCCGAGATCCCCAGACACGGAACACAGACGCATCGCCAACCTTCCCCGTCCACAGCAAGGCTGGGGACATCGCAGGCCGAGAGACCCGGGGGTGAAGGTTGAGCTGATGCGCCGCGTACCTCACCGCAAACGGCCACAGAAAATGGGGGGCAGCCGCATGCATCATGGACGTACGAGCGACATCCATGACCATGCCAATGCGGCGCTCAGCAATCCCATTTTGCTGTGGTGAGTCCGGAAGCGTGAAGGTCTGGCGGATCCCCCGTGCACGACAGTAGTCTCGCAGAAGGCGAGAAGAGAACTCTCCGCCTCTGTCCGAGTGCAGACGCAGAACAGGAAAGCCCGAGCCGAAGCTCTTCCTGAGCTGGAGACGAGCCTCGCGGATCCAGTCGATCAGCACCTCAGTGACCGCACCCTTGCTGCGCAAGGGGAGGACTGTGGTGTAACGCGAGTAGTCGTCAACCACCAACAGGAAGTAGCGCTCGTGACCCTGCCCACGGACAGGGGCTGGGCCCCACACATCCATGTGAAGCGTCTGCAGGGGAGCCTCTGTCGGGGGGGAGTGGGAGGAGTGAGGAGTAGCCCGGAGACTGCAGCCGGCCGGCCGAGCGGCGTAAGGGTAGTGCGGTCTCGAAAGAAGGAGCGAGAAGCCCCGGAGTCAAGTGTGAAAAGGAGGGAGGACGAGGACGACGCAGTACCTGAGAGCGCAGTCTCACCAGTACCTGAGAGCGCAGACGCACTGGCACCTATAGCAGCAGCCTCACAAGCACCTAGCGCAGCAGTACCAATGCCCGGGTCGGGCTGGAAACACCGATAACCCTCATTCTCCTCACTATAAGTCACAGCATACATAGCAGCAAGGATAGCATCAAAATCAAGATCAAAGATCGCTACACCAGCCCTAAGAAGCTCATCCCAGCGAGGGATCTCACTAGCCCCAGGGAACTGCTGACGCCAAGCGTCCGTCAGGCGGCCAAAGCAGCGCTGGGTGGCGTGGGCACCCCCACACTGCTCACCCGCGCGGTCGCCGGAACGAAGAACGTAGGTGCAGGGACCAGTACCCCCACCCCTCTGACGCCCAGCGTACCACTCACGAAGCTGCTGAGGCGGAGGGATGTCCCGCGAGCGCTGCTGCTGCTGCCGCTGCGAGCGCTGGCCACCACCACCGCCGCTACGCTGCTGGGTACCACCCCGACCAGCTCCACCTCCTCCACCACCACCGCCTCCTCCGCTGCCGCCTCCACCGCCTCCACCTCCGCCGCCTCCACCTCCGCCGCTGCCTCCACCACCACCGCTGGCACCACCACCACCGTCTCCGCCGCTGCTGCCACCACCACCACCACCCCCGCCACTAGTCCCGCCGCCACCCCCACTCCCTCCGCCGCCACCGCCGCCACCGCCACCGCCCCCTCCAGCTCCACCCGCGCCCTTGCCCCCCTTGCCCTTGCTGGAGCGACGTCTCCCACTAGGGGCAGACGCCGCGCCGACCGACTCAAGACCAAGCAGGTCGGCAGCAGCAGCAGAGGCAACAGAGGGCAGCAAGGGGGAAGGAGAGCACCCCTCAAAGATGGGGGTGCGAGGGTCACCACGAGAAGCACCTACAGCGACTATGCTCTTCTCCGCTGCGAGGAGGGCCTTCTCGAGGAGGTCGACGGTGAGGGTGGTGGGACAGACTGCGAGAAAGTGGTCCCTGACGACGCGAAGGGAGTCAGGGAGGCGCGCGACTACGTAGTAGAGAGCTATGTACATGGGGGGTGGGTTCTTAGCGCAGAACTCAGCAGGAAGGGCGGCGCGGTAGCGAGTGTCACTAGTGCGGAGGTGCGTAATGAGGTCAGCGACAGTGGGAAAGGCAGAGAGGTCAGGAAAGAGGTAGGGAAGCATGAGACGGCTCAGTGCAGCAGTGGCAGGGGAGGAGTAGCGCGCAACTACAGCGTCGTACAAGGTCTGAGCACTCTTGTACTGACTAAAGTGCGCACGCTCAGAGGTAGGGAGGTGGCGACGCACAGCAAGACGTGCAACAGCATCGCGGGTGGCCCACTGAGAGCGGACAGTGGGATCAGCATCAGCAGCAGGAGCAGGAGAGGCGCCAGAGGTGAGGTCAAAGAGAGAAAGGCCGTCAGCCCTGTCGCACTGTAAGAACAGCTGCAGGTCGTCTAACCAGACCTCAAAATCAATGGCGCGACCCTCAGCGTCAAACGCTAGGACACTAGGGGTAGCCATGGCGACGACAGCGACGCAGTGCAAGCAGTAGGGAAAGAGATCGCACTGACAGTGGGACTGTGCTCACCAGGCAGGGCAGGTCGTGCAGCTCTGCAGAAAGGCGGCTCGGCGACCGGGCGGCTCGGGTGCACAGCGGCTCGGCTCCCGGGCGGCTCGGCGGCTGGGCGGCTCGGGCGCAGGGCGGCTCGGCTCCCGGGCGGCTCGGCGGCAGGGCGGCTCGGGTGCAGGGCGGCTCGGCTCCCGGGCGGCTCGGCGGCAGGGCGGCTCGGATGCAGGGCGGCTCGGGTCCCGGGCGGCTCGGCGTTGGGCGGCTCGGCTCCCGGGCCGTTCGGCTGCACTGCTGCCCGACTGCTGCAGGTGTGGCGGCGGGGCCGCGTGAGAGAGCCGGGGCGGGGACGCGTGAGGGCCGGCGGCTGGGCTGCGTGAGAGCCGGGGCGGGGCCGCTTCAGAGCCGGCGGCGGGGCCGCAAGAGAGCCGGGTAGGGGCCGCGTGAGGGCCGGCGGCGGGGGCCGCGTGAGAGCCGGGGCGGGGCCGCTTCAGAGCCGGCGGCGGGGCCGCAAAAGAGCCGGCGGCGGGGCCGCTTGAGAGCCGGGGCAGGGGCCGCGTCAGGGCCGGCGACGGGGGCCGTAAGAGAGCCGGCGGCGGGGCCTGGTGAGGGCCGACGTCGGGGCCACGTGAGAGCCGGGGCGGGGCCGCAAGAGAGCCGGCGGCAGGGCCGCGTAAGAGCCGGGGCAGGGGCCGCGTAAGAGCCGGGACGGGGCCGCGAGAGAGCCGTCGGCGGGGCCCGCGTGAAAGCCGGGGCAGGGCCGCGCGAGAGTAGGCGGCGGGGCCGCGTAAGAGCCTGGGCGGGGCCGCGACAGAGCCGTCGGCGGGGCCGCGTGAAGGCCGGGGCGGGGCCGCGTAAAGGCCGGGGCGGGGCCGCGACAGAGTCGGCGGCGGGGCCGCGTGAGAGCCGGCGACGGGGCCGCGTAAGGGAGGGCGGCGGGGCCGCGTCAGTGGAGGCGGCTGAGCCGCAAAAAAAATCGCGCCTCAGGGCGCGCTTCGGTGGGCCCAAAAAACGGTCCTTAGAAGGACCCGCTCTGATACCATGTGAGAATAAGCGAACAGGAATGAAGAACTAGCAGTGAAATGAGTACAAGTAGGAAACCCTAGAATTGTGTACCCCCTATAGGCTAACCCACTGTAGCCTACACAAGCATAACATATATAATGTTTGACAGTGGTCTCACTCAAATATAAGGTAGGAAATAAATTCATCTAGTGAACGTAAGGGTTTGAAAGGTAACTAACGCACATGTGTAGAGAAAATGGTGCATCGGCGAGTCTGGCCGGCATTTCGCACTTATAGTGCAGGTGGGGCCAGGGAGAACGGAAACGCCCATTTATCAAAAAGTAAAGGAAATCTAGCGGTCTCACTCAATCAGAAGGTGAAAAATATATAAATCTAGTGAGCTAATAAGGTTTGGAAGGAATCTAATGCATATGTATATGGAAAGTGGTGCATTGGCCAGGTCGGTCAGTATGGGAACTTAGAGTGCAAATGCCTGGAAGAACAAAACCGCTGAGATCTCGCATAATACACGGAATCTAGTGGTCTCACTCAAATAGAAGGTAGGAAATAAATTCATCTAGTGAACGTAAGGGTTTGAAAGGTAACTAACGCACATGTGTAGAGAAAATGGTGCATCGGCCAGTCTGGCCGGCATTTCGCACTTATAGTGCAAGTAGGGCCAAGGAGAACGGAAACGCTCATTTCTCAAAAAGTAAAGGGAATCTAGCGGTCTCACTCGATCAAAAGGTGGGAAATATATAAATCTAGTGAGCTAATAAGGTTCAGAAGGAATCTAAGGCATATGTATATGGAAGGTGGTGCATTGGCCAGGTCGGTCAGTATGGGAACTTAGAGTGCAAATGCCTGGGAGAACGGAAGCGCTCAGATCTCGCATAGTACACGGAATCTAGTGGTCTTACTCAAATATAAGGTAGGAAATAAATTCATCTAGTGAACGTAAGGGTTTGAAAGGTAACTAACGCACATGTGTAGAGAAAATGGTGCATCGGCGAGTCTGGCCGGCATTTCGCACTTATAGTGCAGGTGGGGCCAGGGAGAACGTAAACGCCCATTTATCAAAAAGTAAAGGAAATCTAGCGGTCTCACTCAATCAGAAGGTGAAAAATATATAAATCTAGTGAGCTAATAAGGTTTGGAAGGAATCTAATGCATATGTATATGGAAAGTGGTGCATTGGCCAGGTCGGTCAGTATGGGAACTTAGAGTGCAAATGCCTGGAAGAACGGAACCGCTGAGATCTCGCATAATACACGGAATCTAGTGGTCTCACTCAAATAGAAGGTAGGAAATAGATTCATCTAGTGAACGTAAGGGTTTGAAAGGTAACTAACGCACATGTGTAGAGAAAATGGTGCATCGGCCAGTCTGGCCGGCATTTCGCACTCATAGTGCAGGTGGGGCCAGGGAGAACGGAAACGCTCGTTTCTCAAAAAGTAGAGGGAATCTAACGGTCTCACTCGATCAGAAGGTGGGAAATATATACATCTAGCTAGCTAAAAGGTTTGAAATGTATTCAACGCACATGTATAGAAAAAATGGTGTATTGGCCAGGTCGGTCGGCATCAGAACTTAAAATGCAAATGCCAAGGAGAACGGAAGCGCTCAGATCTCGCATATTACACGGAATCAAGTGGTCTCACTCAAATAGAAAGTAGGAAATATATTCATCTAGTGAACCTAAGAGTTTGAAAGGTAACTAACGCACATGTTTAGAGAAAATTGTGCATTGGCCAGTCTGGCCGGCATTTCGCACTTATAGTGCAACTAGGGCCAAGGAGAACGGAAACGCTCATTTCTTAAAAAGTAGAGGGAATCTAGCGGTCTCACTCGATCAGAAGGTGGGAAATATATAAATCTAGTGAGCTAATAAGGTTCGAAAGGAATCTAATGCATATGTATATGGAAAATGGTGCATTGGCCAGGTCGGTCAGTATGGGAACTTAGAGTGCAAATGTCAGGGAGAACGGAAGCGCTCAGATCTCGCATAGTACACGGAATCTAATGGTCTCACTCAAAAGAAGGTAGGCAATAAATTCATGTAGTGAACGTAAGGGTTTGAAAGGTAACTAACGCACATGTGTAGAGAAAATGGTGCATCGGCCAGTCTGGCCGGCATTTCGCACTTATAGTGCAAGTAGGGCCAAGGAGAACGGAAACGCTCATTTCTCAAAAAGTAAAGGGAATCTAGCGGTCTTATTCGATCAAAAGGTGGGAAATATATAAATCTAGTGAGC